CTGAGGGCACGGCGGTGCTCAGCCCACGCAGGGCATTCTCCCACTGTGTGTTCCACCGTGTCCTCAGGGCGGTCCTCGCAGTGATGACACCCGGGCGTTTCCTCCCGCCCCATCAGACACAGGTACCTCCCGAAACTTCAGTGCCTCCAAGATGCAGCTCCAGGGCAGGGAGTTGAAGGCGTTGGCGATGTCTAAAGACACCGCCACCACGACTCTACCCCCGGACACTGCAGTCCCCGTCGTGAGGTCCCTAACGCGCATGATGGCGTCCACCGTGGAGCGCCCTCTGCGGAAGCCGAATTGGCCGTCCGACAGGTCCGGCCCAATGTTCGTCAGGTGCGCGACGAGGCGGTTCGAAATGATTCTTTCGAAGACTTTCCCCACCTCGTCGAGCAGCACTATGGGCCGGTATGCGGACGGAGAGTCCGCAGGGCGCCCCGTCTTCCGCACGAGGACCAGTTTGCCCGCTTTCCAGAGAAGCGGGAACTGGCCTCTCTCCAAGCATGCGCTGTAGAGACCGATTAATCGAGGCCCGAGAGCCTCTGAGGCCAGGACCCATGCTTTGCCATGCAAGCCGTCGGGTCCTGGGGCGGTGTTCTTGGCGCCCATCCGGCGCACCGCCGCTCTCAATTCTGCCTCGGTCACCTCTGGGACGAGGTCATCGTCGCCGTCGCTATAGCCCGCGTCGGGCACCGCAGGGGGCAGAGTCATATACGGAGGCCTGAAGCGCCTCCGCGGTCGGGGGAACAGGGCGCTTATCACCTCCTCCAAGACCTCTGGCCGGAGACTCTGAGTGAGCGGGGGAGCCCAGGCGCGGAGCTTATCGCGCACCATCCGGTACGGGCGTCCCCACGGGTCTCTATTCAGAGTCCCCAGCATCTCTCGGCGGGCCTCCTCCTTGGCCCGCAATATCTCCGCCTTGAGGAGGGCCTTCGCCGCCCTGTATCCCTCGTATAACTCCGCCTCTCTCGCCTCCGCATTAGGAGGACGGATACGGCGCCTGCGGTGCCTAGTGTACTGGCGTCGCGCAGTAGTGCACGCCTTGCGCAGAGCCGCCAGCTCTTGCGACCACCAGTACACCTGGCGCTTCTGTTGCCTCGATCGGATCCGGGGCATCGCCACGTCACAAATCCTGGACATGGCGTCCTGGAGCCACTTAGCCTCATCGTCGATGTCGGCAGGCCTGACCGGTGGTATCACCCAGGCCTGCACGATGGCGGCTTCCAGGAGCAGCTCCCGGTCCAGCTGTTTCAGCGCCCAACGCGGACCACATGGGGCCTGTCTGACCGGCGGGTCTGCGGACTCGGCGGAGACGTCGAACCGGATATACCGGTGGTCGGAGTACGTCTCCACCTCCTCCATGACACGCCAGTCGACGATACGCGGTGACAGAGCAGGGCTGGCGAACGAAATGTCCACCACCGACTCGCCCTGCATCCGCACGCACGTGGGGACAGAACCCCGGTTCAGGACGACTAGGCCTGTCTCAAGGGCCCAGTCTTCCACCATCCTACCCCGGACGTCGGTGAACCGGGAACCCCAAGCCAAGTTTTTGGCATTGAAGTCCCCGAGGACGAGTACGGGGAGGGAACGGAACCCGACGACGACGGTGACCAACTCCATCAAGGAGTTGTGGAACTCGGCGAGAGTTCGGTTCGGAGAGAAGTACACGCCCACCACAGCGAGCTCTCCGAACCGTGCTGCGACACAACCCCGGCCTCTTTGAGCAGCCTCAAGAGTCGGGGTACCGGCGGCGGCCGACGATATGATGGTCACCGAGCCGTCCAGGTCCGCCACCCAGTGATCCCTGGGCGGGACGAAGTACGGCTCGGAGACCACGGCGACATTGATCGACCACTGCGCCATGCTCTGGAGCAGGAGATCCTGAGCAGCGGCGCAGTGGTTGATGTTCGCCTGGAGGAGGCGGAATGGGGCCATTATTGGCAGTCCATCCCGACCTCCTCAGTGGCGGCAGCGGCGACTGCGGCGGCAGTGGCGGCGGCGGCGGAAACGACGGGGGCGGCGGAGGGCCTACTTTTGGCCTTGGCTTTGGCAGGAGGGGAGCAGCCCTTACTCCCGACCCGGTGATTGGCCGGCTTGCCAGCCGCCGCACATGCATTGCAGTGCAGCGGGGCGGTACACGAGCCAGCCTTGTGACCGGGCCGACCGCAGCGGAAGCAACAGTCGCTGCGGTCCACCTCCGAGGTGCATTTAACGCTCACGTGTTCGCCCACGTGGCAGCGATAGCACCTCAGAGGCCGGGTCTCGAGCAGCTTGACCTGCGCCGAGACCCATCCCACCAAGAGCCTTTTGCCCTCCTTCAGCTTCTTGGCCGCTGTGACGGGGCAGCTCACCACCACTGTGCGCAGCCCCGAGTTGTCCGGACGGATGGTGCCCGCCTTGACCTGGTCAGCAGGGCACCCTCCCGTCCTGGCCACAGCGGCCACCACCTCACTCTGCGTTACAGAGTCGTCCAGGCCCATAATCCTGACATCCAGGCATTTGGTGGGCCTGGACACGCGGGCCTCGTCTGCCCCGAGGCACGCCCTAAGCCTCTCAGCCAGGGCGTCGGCCGACGGGCCACTGGCCGCGCCGGGGACCTCCAGTAGACGGGCTCCGGTAGCGGTCACCTTGACCGCAAACCCGTCCGGGGCCCCGAACTCCGCAGGTGTTACCGCCCCCTTGAGCTTGGCGAGGACGTCGCCGTAGGTAACGCCCCTATTGACCGCCTCGGGCTGCAGTGTAATAACCACAGCCGCGGTCTTAGGGGCGAGGAGCAAGGCAGCAGCGCGTTTCTCCCTGCGCTGCTGCTGCCGTCGCTGCCGCTGCGCCTTCTTGCGGCGCTTCCGGCCCTCCCTGGCGACTCTCCTCGTCTCGCCGGCGATTTGCCACCCGCCGCCGTCCTCCACTCGTGGGGCGGGTTCCGCCGCCGCTGCTGCAACTCCAGCTTGCCGGGCTGGAGTTCTCCTCCTTTTTTTGCGACCCGCGGGCGCAGGCGCCGTCGGCGCAGCCGGGGTCTGCACCGGCGGGGGCGCCGAGGGCCTCGCGGGAGGAGGCGCTCGCGCTTTTGCCGGCGATTGGGGACCGCGGCCAGCCTGACCAGTGGAGGTCGAGGGCTTGGCCGCAGCGGCCGCATACGAGCGCGGAGACGCAGGTGGGGCGACCTGACTCGACGCTAGCGGGGGGCGAAGGAGTCGGCCCTCCAGCACGTCGAAACGACGCTGGAAAGCCGCCATCTCCCTGCGCAGCAGACCGACCACGTCGGCATCCGCTGAGGGCTGGGGCTGGGGATGATTTTCCCGGGCAGCGGCGAGCCCGGCCCTAGCCGATCGCAGCTCGGCCTCCAGAGCCGCGTTGGAGGCCGCCAAGCGCGCCAACTCCCGCCGCATCTCCCCCAGCTCCTTTTGTACCCTGTCAGCGGTGGGCAGCGCACACCGCTCCAAGGCCGCCGCCATGATGGCGGACTCCGCCGCGTTCAAGATGCGACTCGGCCCTGCACCGTCTTCTTCGAGGCCACCTTGCGGAGCTCCTCCTGCACGGCCAGGCGGAGGCTCTCGGAGCTGCGCTCACTCTCGGAGAGCTCGTTCTCAGGCATCTCTACGCCGGACATCTCAGCCGCAGAGGACTCAGCCGAACGGGCAGCGCTTGAGAGAGCCCTGCCCTCCGCGGCCAGCTGCTCGGCTGACTCCGCGCAGGCAGCTGGTGCCGGTTTCCGGCGACCGCTGCCCTTGCCGCCCTACCCCGCGCTGCCGTGGGGACCTTGGGGGGAGGCGCCTCCTGAGCGCCGGAGGACGGGGACAAACTGTCCTCCTCCAGCCTGGGGCGCTTGAACGTCCCCGTCGCGCGGCGGCGTGAGCCTTTCGAGCTCACGCTCAGCCGCTCCGCCAATGTTGTGTCGGACTCTGAGTCCGACCCCCTCCGACTAGACTCCCGTGTGTGGGGCCTGCTGGACGAGTCCAGCGCCTCACCACGAGTCCCGGAGCCACCTGGGCTCCCCTCTCCCGCTACCGCAGGCGAGCCAAGCTCACCCGCACTCTCCTCCTCCGAATGTGGTTTGTGTGATAAATTCTCCATACAGTTCCCACGAGTATGGGGGAAATTCGGTCCACCCAGGCAGTGCCCCCTGTACCTGGGTAAGTGTTAATTTGTTTCCCAACTAGAGGTTCCACTGGTCCCCTAGCTGGGGGTGCGCTCGCGACTGACACTACTCCTCAGCCATGCATACTCTCGCCGCGCACCAGAACTTAGTATTGGAGGAATTTTTTATAGAGGTTATCTTCCTCGCGGTCCGGGCGACCAAGCCAAGACCCTCGTCCCGTTCAGAGTCACAAAACATGACCGTGACCTCCTTACGGATTACGATATCGACGGCTGCAATCGGGGACAGCTTGTGTCCCGATGCTGCTCGCTGGCAGGGTGAGTGCACAACGAGCACCGCCATTGCCTCTCCGCCACGCTCTCTGCTATGTCCAGAGAGACGGGCGGAGAAGCGCCCCTCGGAAGCGCGGGCTATGAGCCTCCGCACACAGCCCGCCGCCTCCAGAACCCTATTGGGTTCGCCCGCCCAGTCCAGAAGTCTGCTGCGGGCGACAGTCACTCCAACCCTATCACCCCCGCTAGGGAGACTGTCGCCCGCACCCAGGGTGCACCACGGGGAGGTCTTCTGGCACCGCACCCCAAAGTTCTCATGCATAAAGGGTTCCTACCTAGCCTGGCAAGCACCAATGTGACCTTTTCTGAGTTATATGTACTTTCTAAGATTATTTAGACACCACTGACAAACGGTGAAGGGAAACATCGTGAGGAAACCTGGGCTTATAATTTCAAATTTCTAATTATAAGTTTGAAATCGCCAACCCGCATTAAGTGACCGGAGTAATTAATGCTCAAACCTTGTCCGTGTGAAAAGAGGTCTTTGCCCAGCAGTACTTAACCACTCATTGGCTGAAGATGACGAGGAAAATGCATCGATAAATAGCAAAACTAGTTTCTTTACATACCTTCATTTTTGTTAAGGTCACCTACAGCGCCACTGAGACTGACACATAAACATATAATTATATATTTATACATCTTCGCTAACACATGTGTCCAACACAGACGCTAAATCGCGATTGACGATAAATCACTTATTTTTTACATTTTGAATGTCATATTTATATGTATGGAATGTGTGTATTATATTATTTTATCAATTAACTAGCTTGTACTAGCGACTTCGCCCGTGTGATATTAAAAGTTGGTACCTACTTTTTTATTGGAAACGTGGTAAATGTGTGTGGGAGAGCCATGCTTCGGCACGAATGGACCGGCTCGTCCTGAGTGATACCACGGCCTAACAGAAAACCGACGTGAAGCAACGCTTGCGTTTTGTTTCGTCGTGTGAGTGAGGTTACCGAAGGCCCAATTACCCCCCTTCCCAATCTCCCCAATCCCTGAATCCCCAACAATCCTTAAATTCGATAGATAGCTCACTCGTAACATAGCTTACATCAGGTGATCCGTCTGCTCGTTTACCGGCGTATTTTTTATGAGATAATCCGGTACACGACCAGCAGATCACCTGATGGTAAGCGATCTGCGTCGCTCATGGACACCTGGAACACCAGAGGCATTACAAGTGCGTTGCTCGCCTTTTGGGGATTAGGAATTTAAGGATTGTTGGTGATTCGGAGATTGGGCGCATTGGGAGTAATTGGGCCTCCAGTAACCTCACTCACACGGCGAAACACAACTCAAGCGTTGTTTCACGTCGTAGTACTGCGAGGCCGTGGTATCATTCCAGTCGAGCCGACGACGACGTGTTTGACACAAACCTTCACCAAGATAAGTAACAAACACTTGGTGTGTTTGTTTAAGTCGAACTTTAATATTTACTAGCTACTTCCGCGCGGTTTCACTCGCTCTGCTCGGCGCCTATTAATTGTAGCGTAATATTTTATAGCCTATAGCCTTCCTCGATAAATGGTCTATCCAACACATAAAGAATTTTTCAAATCGGACCAGTAGTTTCGGAGATTAGCGCGTTCAAACAAACAAACAAAAAAACAAACTAACATAAACATTTAAACATTTATAATAGATAACATAAATGTTTACTGCACAATTTTTTATTATGATAGTTTGAAATTAAGACCTGCGTATGATTGTGATAACCTTTATATATGTGCCTATATTATGATTCTAGGTAAATAATTGTCCCCAATGAACTTCTGATTACATAATCGCATAGAAACAAAACATTCTTTTAAAACAAGTCTCTACCAGCGAATTACTCTACAGATACCTATTTGTGTTGTTTATGACAGACATAACATAACATCACGGAGGAGGCGGGACGCGTGAGGCAGCGAAGCGCTGCCTATCGCGAAGGACACTCCGGGCGTCGGGGATCGCGGGACGATCTCCAGCCACCGTAAGCGCGGGCCTGCGGTCGGCGAGCATGGGTGGCTCCCGGTACGGCGCGTCGCGTTCCGCGCGCGCCTCAAAGAGCCATCAAACCACCACAGATGGGGCCCAATAGGGCCGATGCCGATTCGGAGTCGCCGAGAACCTAACGGGTAACCGGGGCTCCGGCTCGACGTGCAGGAGAAGGAACGGGGTGGTTTATAGTCAGTAAGAGTCTGACACTCCCTTCCGCCTCACCCAGGCGGGAGCAGTCATTCGATGATTTTCCCCCCTTAAAAAAAAATATAACATCACGCCTTTTATCCCCGAAGGTTTAGGCAGAGGAGCACATTATGCCACCCTACAATGTAGCACCCACTTTTCACTATTTACGTTATGAGTCCCATGTAATAGGGGGTGAGCCTATTGCCATATACCGGGCACAATTCCAGACTCCGTGCTACTACTGAGAATTTTTTTAAAACCCAATAATACTTTGCCCGACCCGGGAATCGAACCGTTGTTGTGGTTTGTGAATTTGTGTATATTGTCGAAATATGTATGTTATATGTCCTTTTTATGTGATAAGCAGGAGTGTGTGAGTACTTTTTGAAACAGTAAAAAGTGGGTGTTACATTGTACAGTGGTATAATGTGCACCTCTGCCTACCCCTTCGGGGATAAAAAGGCGTGATGTTATGATGTTATTATGTTGGGATAAACCATTTGATAATTAAAACAAGTTTTATAAGGAAAAAAACAAATATAACGAAATCACGTTTATACAAACTGCAAATCGCAGCGATTGCACGTAATTTGTTTATTTAAAAATGTTTATAACATAACAACACGCCTTTTATCCCCGAAGTTGTAGGCAGAGGTGCACATTATACCACTGTACAATGTAACACCCACTTTTCACTATTTATGTTATGAGTCCCATGTAATAGGGGGTGAGCCTATTGCCATATACCGGGTACGATTCCAGACTCCATGCTACTACTGAGAATATTTAAAAACCCAGTAATACTTTGCCCGTCCCGGCAATCGAACCCGAGACCCTTTGTTCGGCAGTCGCACTTACGAACACTCGGCCAACGATGCAGTTTATCCCAACTTTGATAATAAAACTATGCGATATTAATTTTAAGTACTTATTAATTGTTTACAAAGTCTAAACCGCATGAGGTGCCTGCCTTTTTTATGAGGGGGGCAAATCATCGAATGATTTCTTCCACCCTGGGTGAGGCGGGAGGGAGTGCCAGACTCTTACTGACTAAACACCACCCCGTTCCTACTTCTGCTCTTCGAGCCGGAGCCCTGGCAACCCGTTAAGTCTTCCGCGGCTCCATATCGGAATCAGCCCTACTGAGCCCCATCTGTGGTGGTCTGATGGTTCCTTAAGGCGCGCGCGGAACGCGGCGCTCTGTGTGCTTACTCTTAAAACCATTCTCAATGTCAATGCAATTTTAATCCAATAAAATGTCAATCATTATTCAATGTCAAACTTATACAACCCTAATCGTAGCTGTTACAATAGCATTTAGAGTACGGAATATAAAGCCAAACTCAATACCATTTAGTTCATTCAATATCCACGCAATACGGATGCAATGGGTGCTAGTGCTGCAACTCAAGAGTACGAAATTTCACAATATCAATGTCGATCGATCGGAATTGGATTCAAGAGTAAGCCCCCTGATTGCCCCATTAGGCCCGTGCTTAGCCGGCATCTAGCGCGACGGCTGGGGCGTGAGAAGATTCGTTCCCTCACGCGCTCCGTCTCCTCCTATCCTTAGCTAGCATGACTGCTTCGCAAAAGGAGTAGACGGTATCCCAGTCCCCCTCGATCCGTACCATGGTCTGAACCAGAGGAGGACGCGTGAGGTCCCCGTCGCCAATCCTAATAATAACGTCTATGTCTATTTTTTTTTCATTGTATGCCAAACCATTTTACCAGTTTATCAAAGTCCCTCTTTGTTTCATTCCGCGTATGCCACGGTCACTTTATACTGGTTTTCTATAGCCGTGAGGTTTTTTTATTAATATTGACCTCCGGTCATAAGTCAGTGATAACCGGTTTTGTTAATTCTATACATATTATTAGATACTTATTAAAACAATCTTAAGGTTAAAGTACATAGGAAGATAGTTGCGGGATGCGATATTTTTGTCTACAAAACCTACCTTCTATACCTATTAATAACTAGCAGCCCGTCCCGGCTTTGCACGGGGTAGACAATTATTTATTTTTGGAAATTTGGATTGTTGTAGTGACATAACTACAATAGTTGGACATATGCTACCGTAGAGTTTTTTGTAGACATTATGATGTTCTTCAATATTGTTGCACATTATTTTGTTCTATCGCTAATAGTTTCGGCAGCGCATTCGACGAAAGACATTTTAAGACTCATTTTTCTACAACTTCGGTTACATTGTTCAAATTTTACCAAGGATCTCTTATTATTTTCAAAATGAAATATAGCCTATATCAAATTAAAAGAATGTAGCATTCTATTAGTGAAAGAATGTTTTGAATCGGCCCAGTACTTTTTGAGCCTATTCATTACAAACATACAAAAATAGGTACAAATCTTTCCTCTTTGTAATATTACCATAGATTTCGTCACAGGGTACGGTAGACTCGATCAAAACATTACCTGAATAACAGAACATAAAAAAATATCGATTTCGAGTCGACAACATAATTCGGATTACGGAGATTATTTCGTTGTATTAATTCATTTTAATGACACCGACAGACAAACCGCAGTCGCCATCTTGAGTAGACAATAAACGTTCCTTTTCATACTAGCTCTCAAATACGCCTCGCCAATCAACACGTTGTCGCGTCAAAAAAGTATAAATTAACAAGAAATATGAATAATTTCACGCGAACGAAGTCGCGGGTAACAGCTAGTATCTATTATAAATACGACAGTTAATGAGTTTGTGTGCATGTATCAGGCCTCGTACACAAAATTACGATGCGAATTGCTGCGATGCAATTTCGTGCGACAAGGCGTCTCCCAGGGTGACCATTCCTTCGACGACCGTCAACCGTACTAAACGTATTTTATATTGAAAACTAGGTCGTGACATGGATCGTAAATAGAAGTGTGCACTTCTGTTATTGCTTAGGAGATACAAGAAAAAGAAACAAAGAACATTTTGGGAAGATAAGATTTTGATGCGCGATGCGAATCATTGCGATGCGTAGAGGGAGCTCGCACATTTTTGAGCCTATTATTATCGCTTAGCTTTGTAGTAGGTTCGTAACCTAAGCTCACATTACATTGAAATTTAATCTAGGAGCGTCGTAATCAATATAGTGAGTCATCTTCTATAGACTATACACGTCTTGAACCATCAACTTAAATAAATTCATTTCAACACAAATGTTTTAGTGAAAAATGCAGTGTTTTGTGTTTTTATTTTACGTTTATTTTATTGTACATCAATGCGTTTGTAATGAGAACAATTATAGCAACGTAAATCATATTCATGAAGGTCAAATTGGTATGTTTATTTTTTTATTTAGTTCTAGTTTCGGATTTGCCTGCGTCGTCTGTTATTTTAGACCATAACCTACTCTTTTTCCAAATAGCATCCCCATTCCTTCAGCCATTTTCACGTGGTTGAGTAACATACAAACTGACAAACTTTGGCATTTACAATCTATATATATATAAAAGAAAGTCGTGTTAGTTACACCACTTATACCTCAAGAACGGCAAAATAGATTTGGCTGAAAATTGGTAGGGAGGTAGCTTAGAGCCAGGAGACCGACATAGGATACTTTTTAACCAATACTTTTTTTTTACTCTTACCGAAAATCACGAACGGGGACGGGGAAAAATGGGATTACGCGTACGAAGTCGCGGGCAGAAGCTAGTATTAGATAGAAGTAAGATAAGCCCAGATTTCCTTAAGACATGAAATTTGGAACATAGGTTTTTTTTAAGGGGGGAAAATCATCCAATGACTCCCGCCTGGGTGAGGCGAGAGGGAGTGTCAGACTCTTACTGACTAAAAACCACCCCGTTCCTTCTCCTGCACGTCGAGGCGGAGCCCCGTTAAGTCCTCTTCGGCTCCGTATCGGCATCAGCCCTGTTGGAGTAGCACGGAGTCTGGAATTGTGCCCGGTATATGGCAATAGGCTCACCCCCTATTACATGGGACTCATAAAATGAATAGAGAAACGTGGGCGTTACATAGTTGTACGAGTGCCTGATGGATATACGATAGCAACGACGACGTGTGCTTAGTATAATGTTAGCAATTAAGGGGGCGTCCATAAATTACGTGAGGTGTTTTTTTAATTGTCTGTCCCTCCCTCCCCCCTTGGTGAGATTTTATTCAACACCCTCCCCCATCCCCCCAATCTCACGTGAGATTTTTCAAAATATTGGTTTTTCACGTAATCGTGTTGGATTGTTATTGCAAAAAGAAAAAAAATACATAATTATGCATGTACAATTAAATCTTAAGCATGTACAATCTGGAATAAATGAACTATGAAGTCGGTAAAAATAAAAACAGCAAATTTTTTTTTGTTTCTATCAGAAAAAAAATTACGTGATATTTGCCGAGACCCCCCCTCTCTCCAACGTAAGATTAGATGAGATTTGAGTCTACCCCCTCCCCCCCTAAAACATCTCACGTAATTTATGGACGCCCCCTAAGTAGTTGTATTATTTTATTTTGTATGTAACGACGCTAATCTCTTCACTTGCTGTGCTGTACTCGTTGATTTAACACTTCATTAAATTTCTACTTGCTGAGTATTCTTTGAGTCTTTTCCTGCGAAGCCCTGGCCAATACAATAGTACAGTGCCATAATGTGCACCTCTGCTTACCCCTTCGGGGATAAAAGGTGTGATGTTATGTTATGTATAGTCTCTTGATAGACTAAACACACTTTTCTTGATTTAACTCGTCGAGTACCGGTTTTATAGACACAATTAAAGAACAATAGGTCGCGGTCACCGGTGACCGCTTGGTGTTTGACAGTTTAAATGAAAGTCAATAGTTGAGAATAATAATTTGTATTGTAGAATAATAAACTAACGTAAAATGGATTGAGTGAACTGTATGAGCGTGAGTGTGTGAATTATGAGAACGCACGGCGGACTTGATTGCTCGATACGAACTGAATCGAATAATTAGGTAAATGAATTACGATGCGTAAAAACATAGTATAAAGAACAAAGTAGGTTATCTTCATACAAATGCTCCGCGCGCGGCTTATATGTGTGCGCCATAGTATCTATGCGTCGACGCACGCACACTTTAAATGCTGACTTTAAATGTGTACGGTTGCACCGTACATGTTATGTTATGTTTTTTATACAACTACCTCTATTATCGATATAAAACGTAGATAGCTTGATTGGTAGAATAGAATTTATTGAACCGTTAACTTAAAAAATATTTTTATGCATTATTTGTTCTAGGTTCCAATTGCACTTGGAATGGACTAAATGGTACATGTACCCGTTTGATTGATTGTCCATCAGCGCAAGATGCAATTGATGATAGACGTTACCCATCAGTAAGTATGTAATTAACTAAAATCGCGGGTTACTCACGTGAATATACTGAGAAAGCTAACTCACTGCTCATGAGGAAGAACCCCTCTCAAAGTCAAATTCAAAGCATTTATTTCAATTAAACCATAATTTGGTACTTTTGAAACGTCAACAAATATCTACTAAATAAATAATAGTGTGTCAGTCTATCCGTCAGTGATGCTAGGTGAAGCTAGGTGCTCATTGCAAAATGTAGATTTGAATGCAGAAGAACGAGTAAGGAACTCCATTCGTTACTCTTTTAAAAAAAGTATGTTCTACAATGTCTCTCTGTGATTCGACACTAGTAGAGCTTTTCTCAGTATATCCACGTGAGTAACCCGCGATTTTAGTAATTTAGTATGACTCAAGTTTTAAGACTGCCTCGTTGGCAAGGGGTCTCGGGTTCGATTCCCAGGTCGGGCAAAGTATTACTAGGTTTTTAAAAATCTCAGTAGTAGCACGGAGTCTGAAAATGTGCCCGGTATATGGCAATAGGCTCACCCCCTATTACATGGGGTAACATAAATAGTGAAAAGTGGGTGTTACATTGTACAGTGGCATTAAGTGCCGAAATGTGCACCTCTGCGTACCCCTTCGAGGATGAAAAAGCGTGATGTTATGTTATGTTATGTCAAGTTTTAAGAAAAACTCAATACGTTACTTTGATACTGAAAAGATTATTAGCCTTTTTCCTGGGAAGATTTTAAAAAAATCCGCGAGGGGTCAGCACCAGTGGGGACCTACATGTTTTGAATTCTCTGTTGACAACAACGTGAAACGTTACGTCTTATTATTATCAGAATAAATAAATATTGTGATATAAAAAAATAGTCATGCCTACAAAACATTACGCATTGGCAAATTGTACATCTGATAGACAGTACAAGCAAGATGTAAAATTTGTGCCATTTATAAAACCACAAGTTGACAAAAAAGAAAGAGAAAGAAAGAAAGAAAGAAAGAAAGAAAAATAAATTTATTCGTCGTCAGACATGGACCACCGAAAATAAAAAAGAAAGACTTTAATTGCAAATTTTAATTTCGCTCCAGGTACCTACATCATCTTCAGTTAATTCCATTTCCAGAGAATTCAAAACATATGTACCCGCCCACTGGTGCTGCCACGAGCGGATTTTTTTAAATCTTCCCAGGAAAAAGGCTAATACAGATTAAATTAGTGACGTTCTTTTAGTTGATTTTCGTCGTCTGACACAAGATAGTTATTATAAGTTCAATGTATACTACTTTAATTATAGAACTCTATACGGTGTCCCTTTAAGTACACATGAAATGGAACAGGGGCGTAGAGGTCATACCCTTGGTCTTTGTTAGGGAATGGGGGCCCACTTCTTAACGGTTTATTTGGGAATTAGGGACTGGGGATTCGGGATTGATGATGATGATAACCTTTTTAGTTATTACTAGCGACCCGCTCCGGCTTTGCACGAGTATAAAACAAAGTCGCTATCCGCCGTCTGTCTGTCCTTATATGTGCTTAGATCTTTAAAACAGCGCAACGGATTTTGATGCGGTTTTTTTTAATGGAGTGATTCTTAAGGAATTTTTATATGTATAATACATGCCTATTGCACCCGTGCGAAGCCGGGGCGGGTTGCTAGTAAATTAATAAAATAATGTGTGTTTTCAGATATGTTCCTTCGAAGGTGTAACGCCTATAGTATGCTGCATCGGTCCAGAATCTGCACAAAATAATAGGTAATTTAATTTCGTACACACAAATATATACTTGGGGAGCAAAGAAACGGTGCCATTCGTTTTATCATTTTCTTTTCTTGATAAATAATTTTTGATACAAGTACATCATTAACTAGCTACTTCCGCGCGGTTTCACTCGCTCTGCTCGGCGCCTATTAACTGTAGCGTGATATTTTATAGCCCATAGCCTTCCTCGATAAATGGGCTATCCAACACAGAAAAATTCTTTAAATCGGACCAATAGTTTCGGAGATTAGCGCGTTCAAACAAACAAACAAAAAAACAAACCCTTCAGCTTTATAATATACTAGCTTCTGCCCGCGACTTCGTACGCGTAATCCCATTTTTTCCCGTCCCCGTTCGTGATTTTCGGTAAAAAGTAAAAAAAAAATTTGGTTAAAAAGTATCCTATGTCGGTCTCCTGGCTCTAAGCTACCCTCCCTACCAATTTTCAGCCAAATCTATTCTGCCGTTCTTGAGTTATAAGTGGTGTAACTAACACGACTTTCTTTTATATATATAGAAGTATAGATTAGTAACATATGACGTTTTTAAGGCAATTTAGTTACCTTTACAATGAGAGCATCTTGCTATAAAGGGAATATTTTTATACAGATTTAGAGAGGGTTCGATAAAATGAAATAAATTAACACTAATGGCTCCGTTTCCTTGTTCTCTTAACCCCTCGAGCGTCCTTATGAGCACCCGGTGGATCATAAGAAAAAATGCTCCATGCTGCTTTCTCTTTTATAAAATCTATTATTAATGTTTTGTTTTTATTTTGACTGTATTTGTTTTATTTCTATTGTAATGATAATTGTTTTCGTGTGCCAATGGCCAAATAAATGCATTTTCTTGCATGCATAAGGATAAGGAAATGCATAAGGAACGCGGACGCTCGACGGGTTAATAATCATCGAATGACTTCTCCCGCCAGGGTGAGGCGGGAGGGAGTGTCAGACTCTTACTGACTAAAAACCACCCCGTTCCTACTCCTGTGCACTTCGAGCCGGGGCCCCGGTAACCCGTTAAATCTCCCGTGGCTCGGTATCGGCATCAGCTCCAAGTGTACATCATGGACACTAGTGGCGTAGCGTGCCTTAGCGGGGGCCCGTATATAAAATAGTTTTCATAAGGCAAAAAATGTGTAATACACTAATAATTTGAGTGAAAATTTAAAAACTATCCAGGGAACTCCGTCTGATATGATTACTTTAGTTTTTTTTAAGTATCCGGCAATCTTTAAACGCATGCTTTACTCGGAAAAAAAACCTTTTACTTTGACCTTTGTACATACATACATACATACATAACTTCACGCCTGTCTCCCATGGGGGTAGGCAGAGACTAAGGAACGCCAATTACTACGATTCTTAAATACCTCTTTCACTTCCTCTTTCTTGACCTTTGTGATTACTAAAATACCTAAAATACAAATTGGGTATTTTTTATTATTTTTTACTTACACACTTTGGGGGCCCTCAACGTGCAGGGGCCCGGTAATATTGATACGGCAGATACGGCGCTAGCTACGTCCCTGCTAGACACGTTTGCTCGTTGATGAACGTATGGTAATTATAATTATATTTTTTCAGTAACTCCTCGAATATCCCCGATCGAACTTCGGAACATAAACCAAGAAGAAAAGCGGAGGAACGTAAGTTTCTTTCCTTTCATGCATCATCATCAACATCAGCCTATAAGTGCCCACTGCTGACCAAAGACCTCTTCTCACACTGAGAAGGTTTGAGCATTAATCACCACGCTTGCTCAATGCGGGTTGGCGATTTCAAACTTATAATTAGAAATCATAACTTTCGTGAAACATACTAAATTAATTATTTTTTTTACGGCTTACTCACGTAATTATTTGACGTGGAACTCGACTAGTTTCAAGCCATGCTAGAGGCTCATTAATGAGCATTCTGTTAGACAGACAGTCGCCGCGACGCGGGAATAACATAATAATTAACATAATCACATGCACATTATGCCACTGTACAATGTAACACTCACTTTTCACTATTCATGTTATGAGTCCCATGTAATAGGGGTTGAGCCTATTGCCATATACCGGGCACATTTCCAGACTCCGGATAGTAGTATAATAGTTGCAACTATTGAGATTTTTTTAAAACCCATTAATACTTTGCCCGACCCGGGAATCGAACCCGAGACCCCTTGCCCGGCAGTCGCACTTGTGACCGTTCGGCCAACGAGGCAGTATTGTCTAAAATAGTACGTTATTTATAGTTTTATTCAGCATATCTCAGGATAATAATTATAAATATATGTTTCAGAATGTATGGAATATTTAAGAACTTTGTCCTATACCTGCTCAGACCCTTCCGACTACTTTCGCTATAGTAGCTACAATGCATTAGACGTGGTGACACCATTTGAAGCACCCGGTACGGAATCGTCGACAGTATCCGAATCTGACGGATCCACAGAATATTACCAGGTATTTTTTTATGAAACTACTTTCAAATCTTTAAATAAAGAGTTTTTTTTGAAGAGGCAAAATCATTTTAACTGTAGGAGAGCCATGCTTCGGCACGAATGGGCCGGCTCGACCGGAGTGATACCACGGCCGAGCAGAAATTTGACATGAATCAACACTTCCATTGTGTGAGTGAGGTTACCGATGGCCCAATTCCCCCGGGCCCCTCCCCTATCCCTGAATACCTAACAACCCCAAATTCCTAATCCCGAAAGGCCGGTAACGTACTTGTAACACTTTTGGTATTCCAGGTATTTATTGGCCACGCCGATTGCTTATAGGTGATCCGTCTGCTCGTATACCGGCTAATCCCATAGAAAATATCCAATGACTTCTCCCGCCTGAGGCGAGAGAGTGTCATACTCTTACTGACTAAAACCACCCCGTTCATACAACTGCTTTAAACGAGAACCGTAGGCTGTCTGCAACTCCATCCCATTCCTTTCTGAAAGGTCAGCAACGTATTTGTGACTTCCCTAGTGCTGCAGATGTCCGTATACTCGTTTGTCTCGTATTCCAGTTTTTAAAAAAGTTAGTATTTTTGTACTTACTACTGGCAGCAATATAATTTTGTTTTAATAGCATAAGCCGGTAAACGAGCATACGGATCACCTGATGGTAAGCAATCGGCGTCGCCTATGGACACCTGGAACACCAAAGGCATTACGAGTGCGTTACCGGCCTTTTGGGGATTAGAAGTTTAAGTTTTGGGTAGTAATTTAAGTCGAGCATCATTTGTTAAAGCGAGAAACTGTGGACAAGTATTTAGCGTGTGATCAGTGTTGTTACATTTAGGACATACTTTAGAATTGAATTCAGTGATAGAACTAGTAGGAGACTGTGTAGCTACCATAGACTTAATTTTAGGACCTGTTTTAACTACCGTTTGGGAATTATTTGTGCGAGATATTTCTAATGTCTCGATTAGATCGGCTCGACTACGTAAGAATTGCATAAACACTTCAAATGTAATCGGGCTGGTTTTGTCTAACCTACCTTTACACTCTTCCCACTCACGATACGTCTTTTGATCAAGCTTACGAGTTACAATGTAAAACCCAATGCTTATGGTTTGCCTGATTGTTAGCGGATACCGTAGTCCAAGTACACCTGCATCTCCAGAGGCAACACGAGTCAGGACCACGGCTCTGGCTCGAAGCAAGAGTAGGAACTAGATAGTGTTTAGCCAGTAAGAATCTTAGACTCTCTAGCCTCACCCATTTGAAACAAGCTGATTAAATATACCTGATTTGTTTTAGAATTTACCTGTGATACCACCCGGCTTCTCTTCTGCTTCTCCATACGTCGAAATTCCACATCATCAGGTATGTTTCTTTCTGCCTTTCTTTATGGTCTTCCCTATTCCACAGCGTTGTGTGTCAGCTTGGAGTTGTCATGCTCACTCAAAAGTCTTATTGGCAGTGGCACGGGCAGTGGATCGCTCGATTCCCTATAACATGGTCGAGTTGGGCGGTGCTGGTGTACGTGTCATGTTCGTGAACGGGCGCTGTCAAATGGGACTGGTCAGCTCCAGACTGTATTAAATTTGTTGTCCTCAAGGTTATTTTCTTTTTCCGTCTCCTTGACCAAATATTGGTATTACATTGTTCTCACATTATTGAACTCAACGGAAGAATGTAACCAAAAATTGTATTGTGAACATGATTGAAAAAGAGTAACCTATGGAGTTTCTTGCTCGTTCTTCTCCATAGGAATCTACACTTTGGAACGAGCAAATAGCTTCACTACAGGACTGACCTACAGACTGACATTGTTTCTTATTATTTAATATTTAAATATTTTGTTTTGACGTTCAAAAGTGCCTTACTGGTCTAATTGAAATAAATGATTTTGACTTTGACTTTGACTTTGACCACGCTGGTCAGATTGTCGTAAGTGTGACTGTTGAAAGAGCTGAGCTAGAATGTCCTGAAAGAAAGAAGTATTGCATTATGGAGCTCAATATAGGCTAGATTCATTGGTCGGGCAAAATACTGTTTAAGGTTTTTGGGAAATTCCTCAGTATTTAATAAGCATGAAGACTGGATTTTTTTAAACGTTGCCCCACACTAGTATTTTCTCCTGTGTCGTGGGTGCGTTTATAAACATACAAGTTCACATACACATGACACACAGACAACAATTTGTGGATCACACAAAGAGTTGCTCCGTGCGGAAATCGAACGCACTACGCGTTGCACGGCAGCTGGTTGCCCAGCCACCACACCAACCGTGCAATCTATTGTCCCCAGTATATGGTGAATAGAGTAACACCCAAGTCATTTGACATGGGACTATTATTTTATTTTGTTACTAGCTTTTACCCGCGGCTTTGCTCGCGTCACAAAAGGATAAAATATAGCCTATTGACATATCTCACTCTTTACAAATCTTACTCATAAAAACTTTCGTGTTATGCCAAATACTTGCCAGAAACCAAAATTACCATATAAATACCAGTCCTACTTATGCACTCAAATTCAATACTATGCAGCGATACAAACATATTCTGAACTTTCTTCTTATAACACATCTAATAATTCGGATGTAATATCAATACAGACTATCTTCACAATTTTTAATCAAAAAATTCGACTGTTTAGACAATGATAACTTAATAACCAATATAGACAATATCTTAGCTGGGCCATCATTTTTAACGGATCCGGCGTCTTGCAAAAGTCTGCTACTATCTCATACTGGTCATAAAGACGACAATCTGATCATTCTATCACAGAATATCAGAAGCATTAATAAAAAATTTTGCGGCGTTAGAAGTTCTGTTATCCAGACTAGATATAACATGTGACATAATTATTTTAACAGAAACTTGGAATTCAAAAACTGTTCTATTTCCCTCTCTAACAAACTACAAGACAAATTACACGACTATAAATCACAATCAAAATGATGGAATAGTTATTTACAAAAGATGAATTAGATTGCTCTGGGAGGAGGTGTTGTTGGTTGACGCAACGTGCATGATAGTAAAGCTGAGCAATGATACTATAGTGATAGGTATATATAGATCACCTTCCCATAAGAATGTAGACAACTTTATTAAATCTTTGGATGAATTATTAAGCAATTATAAAATCACCATAACATAATTATCATGGGAGACCTGAATATAGACATTAAACTACACACTGACGATGAGAATTCTTGATTACTTAGATTTATTGGCTTCGAATGAATTATTGGCAGGTCATCTATATAAAACCAGGGAAAATAAGTGCTATGATCATGCAATGATCAAATCCAAATTTCAATCATCACAATGGTTTTTCAATGTCTGTCACTGACACCTACCGTAATGACATGCATAACACTAAAAACTAAAATTAAACCCCCCAACTACTACCGTAAAAAAATAAATTTTAAAAACGTTGTTACTGAATTAGAACTTAAACTTTAAACCTATTCTTGACTCACCTGATGTTGACTGGTCCGCCGAGCAATTGTATCGATTCTTAATACAGCAATCATGAGAAATTCTCTTAATGTTTTAGTACCAAAAAGAATACGTTGTATTAAACGTGGATTACGCCTGGATTAGTGAGATGTTTAATAATCGCGACAGAATGCATTTAAAATGTAGGAAAGATCCTAATAATGACATCTTACACATAACTTACAGCAGATATAAGAACTTTTGTAATGACTTACTAAAACGATTAAAGCGTAACTATGAAAAACATCAAATTTACTAAGTATGCCAATAATCCAAAAATGAAATGGAAAGTAATAAATAATATCCAAACAGAGTAAACAAACAAAATCCATCATCTGAATTGTTGAAAATCTGCCCTACACCTGAAGCATCTTTAGAAACCATAAACAATTACTTTACCACGATAGCACAAAAATTAGCTGACAATATTAAAATTACTGCACTTCGGCGGATGAATTCAAATCCACACCATCTAATTCAATGGTCATGTTACAAGTAACAGAGCATGAAATTGAATCAGTGATTATGAACTTAAAAACAGACAGTGCTGTGGGATGGGACGGGATTTCCACGAAACTCATAAAAATGGTTAGGCATGTGGTTGTTTCCCCTCTAAACATATTGTTAATCAGTCAATTATTACTGGTAAATTTCCCAGAGTATTTAAAATATCCATAATCCATCCAATTCATAAATCTGGTACCAGAGACTGTGTCGAAAATTATCGACCAATCTCAGTTTTGCCTGCGCTTTCCAAAATTCTGGAAAAAATAATGAATAAAAGCCTAATTCATATTTGGAAAAGCAAAAAATTTTATCAAGTAACCAGTATGGCTTAGGGCGGGAAGGTCGACGGCTCATGCAGTTTCTGAATTATCAAATTTTGTGGGTACTCACATTGACCATAGAGACAAATGTGTAGTGTTTTTCTAGACCTAGCAAAGGCATTCGACACAGTATCTATTCCTATATTGCTTAACAAAATGGAAAAAATTGGTGTTAGAGGGGTAACCTTACATCTATTTAAGGATTACCTGAGTAATCGCACCCAAAGGGAAAAATAAACCAGTTTTGCAGTAAAGACACACTATAACAATTGGCGTGCCCCAAGGAAGTGTACTCGGACCGACTTATTCCTTATATATATAAATAACCTTTGTAATATACAACTACAAAATTGTCAAATATTTGCTTTTGCTGATGACACAGCTCTAATTTTCTACGGTAAAGTTGGGAAGACGTTCAGAACCATGTAGAAGTAGGACTACAGACTGTATTGGCTTATCTTAATCAAAATCGCCTTTCCCTGAACGTGGCTAAAACAAAATTTATGATTTTTGCCAATTCCAAAAGAGTGTTAACTTCTGTTAAAAACTTTACAATACAATTACATTCATGTGACAAGCATGATAAAAATGTAAATGTACTAATTTAGAGCGTACTGAAACCATAAAATATTTGGCATACTTCTTGATGAAAACACTCACATGGCGTCCATACATAGAATTATTAGAACAAAGAACCAGAAAACTCATGTATGTTTTTAAAATTCTAAGACACGTGGCGGATCATGCGCTATTGAAAACGGTATATTTTGCTCTGGCACAATCTATTTTAACATACTGTATTACTTCTTGGGGAGGTGCACGTAAAACCCACCTTATTAAAGTAGAACGAGCACAACGGTCCTTACTTAAAGTCATAACCTCTAAACCTTTCAGATATCCCACATTTGATTTGTACACTGAATGCGATGTTTTAACTGTCCGGCAGTTGTTTATTAGGCAAAGCATATTGTCACAACATCAGAACCTTACCTTTAAAGGAACAATACGTCAAGGCGAAACCATAAAGTATGTATAACCGAATCATACAACACTTACTTTATTAGGAAATTTCAGTGCTATATTGGCCCCATGCTTTACAATAAATTAAATAAAAAACTTAACCTATATCCATTAACATGTTATTGCTGCAAAAAAGTTGTAACAGTCTGGTTAAAAAAACAAAACTATGAAGATATTGAAAACTTGTTTGTTGTTTTACAGTAACCATGTTAAAAATACATATATAACAGTAATAATAACTGGATACACTAGTTGTGAAGGATAAAGGAATCTGGTGTGTTGTTGTTTCCAATTTTGGTCTACTGTGCATGTTTGTATTACTAGTTATAATAAAGTATGTAGATTAATACTAAATAATAATTAATAATTCCCGCAATATCCAATTTGCGGGAAAAAGAAACAATCTTCAATAATCACTATTTATAATATGTATATAAATAAAACTTAATATCTTATCAACATTAATCACATAATGCATACACCACCTTACACTACACTTTACACATAAATAAATAAAACAATAAAGTTATAAAAATATATACTTAATATTATTATTTTTATCTAAGTTCATTGTCTTAGTGGTTTAACTATACTTAAGTGAATTCATTCTGTGCGGGTAATTCATAAAAAGTTTGATATTGTGTACAGTACCTATGTTTTTATTAGGTACCCTCCTGTCTCTCAAGGTTGTTTTATTGTATTGTCATACTCGTGCATTGGATATCACTGTAATTATAAAACATTTACAAACTTTAAATTGTAAATAATATACTGTATCAATTGGAAGGAACTAACATCTAAGGTACAGGCTCGGCCTAGTTTAGATGTTAGTATTCATAAACTGTGTGTCTAATGTTTTTGTTGCAATAAACACTTTTTTATTTTTATTTATTTTATACTAGCTTTTACCCGCGGCTTCGCTCGCGTCACAAAAAGATAAAACGTAGCCTATGTGACTACCCATCCCTTAAACTACCTTCAGTTGAAAAATCACGTTAAGTACCTCCGTTTTGCCGTTTAAGACAGGCAAACAAACAAACAGCTGTTCGCTTGCGTGGAATTCGGTTATAACGCGCGTTTTAGATTTTTCCGTGGGAATGAGAAGTTCTGCCGCGGTAAAGCCTTGCTTTTCCAGGACTCAAACTACCTTTATACCAAAATCGATTCAGCCGTGTGAAAGAACAGAAGAAGTTATTTTCGCATTACCACAAATACCTCCTCCCATTTTAATTTAAAAGACTTCTATTTCCTATAAGGGTTATATTTGCAATGCTAAACCAAAACTGAGTGGTAAACTATATTATACGTTTTATTATCGGAAACCTAACTACTTTAGACATCTACTTAGAAATAAACCACTTCACTAATCTAACCTAACTAATATAGCTACTGTATCAATCAACGTAAACAATGAACAAAGCGTCTTAGAAGTTAGATCGACGAAAAAAATTACTATAGTACTTTAAATATCTACCTAGAAAAATAACACTTGACTAATCAAACCTACAAAGCGAACAAATAATAATCAATATAATCGCTACATGTGTACCCTAAAATATAATTGATACGGAAGCTTGGAACCTATACTTTCGCCGGTAACGAAACCATAGCGCCATCTAACTCGATCCTAACGCCATCTATCGAGCGTTGAAACAACAGCGTACAATATATTTGCTAATTGTTGAGTATTGTTGCCACTAAGGTTTCGTGTACCTTTAACAATCTAAAATCTATAAAATACGCAACTTAATGTAAAATGTTTGGAACCAAAATTTAAAAGCGAAGAATACTTAAAAAACACAACGCTATTCCGTTTTATAAACACTCAGCGCCATCTATTGCCAAGTAGCGTAACTACCACATAGACACCAATTTCGTGTACCTTTAACAACCTAAAATCTATAAAATACCCATTTCAATGTAAAATGGTAGGAATCAAAATTTAAAACCGATAAAAATACTTAAAAAACAACGTTACCCCGTTGAATATATAATAATAAACACTCAGCGCCATCTATCGCCAAGTAGCGTAACTACTACATAGTCACCAATTTTGTGTACCTAAAATCTATAAAATACGCAATTTAATGTAAAATGGTTAGAACCAAAATTTAAAAGCGAGAAATACTTAAAAAATAGCGTAACTACTACATAGACACCAATTTCATGTACCTTTAACAACCTTAAATCTATAAAATACACAATTCAATGTAAAATGGTAGGAACCAAAATTTAAAAGCGATAAAAGTACTTTAAAAGCACAACGTTACCCCGTTTTATAAACACTCAGCGCCATCTATCGCCAAGTAGCGTAACTACTACACAACGTTACCACGTTATGTTTTTTAAGTATTTTTACATAAAAAATAGCAAATAAATGAGTCCAAAAGCGCACTGAATAAGTGTAGATTAACACCAAATAAGCGCTATAGATTAAAGCGTGAAATTTCCAATTAGTAGGTAATTCGTTGAATTGTTTTAGATGGCACAAAGCGCCATCTACAGGAATACCCACAGCGCCATCTATACTAATATTTTTGTTTTCCCTCGGGAATATCACATTTTTCCGGGATAAAAAGTACCCTATTATTTAATCTGGACTTCTAACTTTACGTCTGCAAAATTTCAAAGCAATCGGTTTAGTAGTTACGGCGTGAAGGTGGAACAAACAAACAAACAAACAAACTCACTTTCAGATTTATAATATTAGTAAGGATAATAAACACACAGCGCCATCTATACCAACACTTTTGTTTTCAATCGGGAATATAAAATTTTTCCGGGATAAAAAGTACCCTATTATTTAATCCGGACTTCTAACTTTACGTCTGCAAAAATTCAAAGCAATCGGTTTAGTAGTTACAGCGTGAAAGCGGAACAAACAAACAAACAAACTCACTTTCTGATTTATAATATTACTAGCTTTTACCCGCGGCTTCGCTCGCGTCAGCGTCACAAAATAATAAAAAGTAGCCTATGTGACATGTACCAATACACACAGCGCCATCTATACCAATACTTTTGTTTTTCCTCGGGAATATCAATTTTTTCCGGGTTAAAAAGTACTCAATTATTTAATCCGGACTTCTAACTTTACGTCTGCAAAAATTCAAAGCAATCGGTTTAGTAGTTAGGACGTGAAGGTGGAACAAACAAACAAACTCACTTTCAGATTTATAATATTAGTAAGGAGTAAGGATTAGGTTCGTTACACAAGGTATGTATTTCTGTTTCAGAATGTACCTATACCACCACCTACTGCGGCACCCGAAGATCAAGATCCCTATCACCACGAACAGGTGGGTTTATCTTTCGGACTGTTCTGAACTAATATATTAAATCATCTCTTTCTGCGCCGTTTCACCAGCTTTGGTCGGCTCCTATTTATCATAGCGTAATGTTTTATTCATTTTTATTTTTTACATTTGATGGGCCGACGTTTGACCACTATCTTACCTGCTGCTAAGTGATGATGTGGTCTACGATGGAACACGTCGACCCATAAGCAATTTTATCCCCGAGAGGGTAGGCAGAGGTGAGGAGAGAGGAGGAGGAGGAGGAGACAGCACTTAATGCCACTACAATGTACCACCCACGTTTCACTATTTATGTTAATAGTCCCATGTAATAGGGGGTGAGCCTATTGCCATATACCGGGCACATTTCCAGACTCCGTGCTACTACTGAGATTTTTTTTAAAAACCCAAGATAGATTTATTTAATAATAGAGGCTCATATTCATAATACTTTTTGGCGACTCTTAGTATCAGCGCGACAGTCGTCGCGTCGTGAATGCTGCTCTCATGATCATGAATATGAGCCTCTAGCATGGCTTGAAACTAGTCGATATCCACGTCAAACAGGTACGTGAGTAAGCCGAAAACATAATAATTAATTTAAAACTTTTTGTTTAAGTATCGTCCGTACCCTGTTCCACCCATCGCATTTGGAGTACCAGCTCATCGGAACCAGTATCCACATATGGTAAGAAGCTTTCTCTTCCACATCAGAATTTTTACTTACGGGATTTAGCGGCAACCGAGCAGACGGTTGCTAGTGTGGGAGAGCTATGCTTCGGCACGAATGGGCCGGCTCGACCGGAGTGATACCACGGCCTCACAGAAAACCGACGTGAAGCAACGCTTGCGTTGTGTTTCGTCGTGTGAGTGACGTTACCGGTGGCCCAATTACTCTCTCCTTCCCCAATCTCCCCAATTCCTGAATCCCCAACGATCCTCAAACTCCTAATCCCCAAAAGGCCGGTAACGCACTTGCAACGCCTCTGGTGTTCCAGGTGTCCATGGGCGACGCCGATTGCTTACCATCAGGTGATCCGTCTGCTCGTTTACCAGCTTATCCTATTAAAAAATGAATTTAATTTTTGTAGGTTGAAAGTTAATATTGGTTTGTATTATATTCCAGGCACTCTTGGGCTACGGAGAAGCGGTAGAAACAGCGCAATGGCTTTGTGGTGGCTCCATCATCAGTAAAAACTTTGTCTTAACTGCTGCACACTGCATTTCCAGCCCAAGTTTGTGAGTATAGAGTTCAAAATAACTTTTAACCTTTCTAACGTTATTGTCCTAATGAATGTGACAAACGTGATCAGTTGAACTATTATGCAACTTTATTTATTTATTTATCATTTCATGTACCCACACCATACAGACAATATTACAAGACACAACACATTATAAGCATGAGGTACAGAGGTACTGCATATCCCTTAAGGGATTTCTTCCTGCAGACCTGCGACAGGAAAAGGAATATAAACATAAGACATAAGACACAGTGTAAATACATGCAACGAATACAAAACAAAATAAAATTAAAGAAAGAACTTAAAACTAGAATGACCGTAATATAATAATAAAATATAAACTTAAGCAAATTATAACAAACATAATAAATAAAGTCATTCAGAAAGAAAGAGAAAGACTGAAAGAAAAAACTATATTACACGCTAAAAAACAAGTGACATGCACAGATGTGTGTCATTCTATTAGTAGGTACTGTTAGATACATGTTCATGTTCCAAGTCTGCGGTGAAATGGGACCAGTTCACCAGTTCAGCACGGTTTGGCCAGAGTGATACCACGGCCTCACAGAAAACTGACGTCAAACAGCGCTTGCGTTATTTTTTGTCGTGTGAGTGAGGTTATCGGAGGCCTAATTACCCCCCTCCCTAGTCCCCGTCTTCCGAATCTCCGAATCCATCACAATCCCCAAATTCCCAATTCCTAAAATGCCGCACTTGTAACGCCTTGGTGTTCCAGGTGTCCATGGGCGGTGCCGATTGCTTACCATCAGGTGATCCGTTGGCCCATTTACCGGCTTATGCTATAAAAAAAAAATTAAACACAACGCAAGCGGTATAAAAAAGGTGTAAGGGGATTAAAAAGTCCTGTATTTTATTTCCAGTGGGCCAATAAAGTACGCAGCGTTCGGTATCCTCAAGAGGTCGGACCCTCCGAAGTATTGGCAGACCTACAATATCACGAGAGTGATCCCTCACCCGGAGTACCAGTCTCCTCACAAATATCATGACATCGCCCTCCTAGAGACCGAGGTTCCGTAAGTATGAGGCTGCTGAGTTCTTTCTTTCTTTGAATCCGCTAATTTCCGGATCTGCTAGTTACATAAAATCGCCTTTTTACCCCCGTAGGGGTAGGCAAAGGTGCACATTACGGCACTTAATGCCACTGTACAATGTAACACCCACTTTTCGCTATTTATGTTATGAGTCCCATGTAATAGGGGGTAAGCCTATTGCCACATACCGGGTACATTTCCAAACTCCGTGCTAATACTCCGATTTTTCTTAACCCGTCGAGCGTCCGCGTTCCTTATGATCCAACAGGTGCACACGTGACATTTGGAGCATTTTTTCTTACGATCCACCGGGTGCTCATAAGGACGCTCGAGGCGTTAAACACCCAGTAATACTTTGCCAGATCCGGGAATCGAACCCGAGACCCCTTGCCCGGTAGTCGCACTTGCGACCACTCGGCCAACGAGGTAGTCAAAAAGTAGTATAATCCTCCTGGAGGTCGAGTTGCATTGCTCTAAAATTCTTCTTGGCGTGTATTACTGTCCTTCTCTCCGTATCAATTTCTTCTCCTCTTTCGAACTTCTCCTTGAAACATTCGTACCCTCATATGATCACTGTATCATTATGGGGGATTTCAATACTTGTTTGTTGAAAAATGACAGTCGTTCCGCTTCCTTTTCCAGGTTAATTAAGTCTACTAATCTTTCTATCCTTGACCTCAATGCTACTCACCACTTTCCCAATTCAGTTCCTTCTCTTCTTGACCTAATCTTAGTTTCCTCTCCGAACCACGTTGTCAAGCATGGACAGTGTCCAGCTGATGCCTTCTCATACCACGACCTTATCTATACTTCCTTTAATATTCGTCCACCCAAGCATAAGTCGAAAATTCTCTTTCTTCGCAATTTTGAGGGCATGAATATCGAGCGCCTTCGGGAGGATGCTGCTAACATTGATTGGACGCCTCTGGTTGAATCAGTGTCGGTTGACGATCAGGCGGAAATTTTGACTGCTACCCTTATAAATCTGTATGACAAGCATGCTCCGGTCAGGACCGTCAGGGTTAAGCATCTCCCAGCACCTTGGTTGACCGAGGAGATAAAAAACCTGATGGCTAAAAAAGCTGCTGCAAAATTTAAATTCAAGATTCAGCCTAGTGACAGCAACAGGGTAAAATATATGACAATTAGAAACCAGTGCAACAAGGTGTGCAGAAATGCCAAACGTCAACACATTCACAGATCAGTTGAAAATAGTGATCCGGCTAAAGTGTGGAAGTTCCTTAAATCATTAGGTATTGGAAAACATACCCAAAACTCTTTGCCTAAAGATCTAGATTTAAATCTTCTAAATTCTCACTTCTCCTCCTCACTCACTTTAGATATTGCCACTAAAACTGCTACTTTAAACTCTCTCTCACTACTTCCGTTACCAAATTTTTCTCCATTCGTCTTCAGTCAATTTGCCGAATGTGACGTTAGGAGAAGCATTCTGTCGACGACATCGAATGCCGTTGGTGGTGACTGTGTTAGTCGCAAGATGATCATCCCTATCCTCGATCAAATTACCCCTGTCCTTTTTGTCCTAAATTCCTCGGTCTCCAACAGAGCCTTCCCTCAAATTTGGAAAGAAGCTCATGTAATACCCCTACCCAAGAAACCAAATCCTGCTTCTTTTTCCGATTTTCGCCCTATTTCCATTCTCCCATTCCTGTCTAAAATCCTAGAAAAACTTGTGCATCATCAATTTAGTTCTTTTCTTACCAGGCACAGCCTCCTTAGTCCCTACCAATCTGGTTTTCGCCCGGGGCACAGCACTACCACGGCGCTCGTAAATATTACTGATGACATTAGGTCGGGCATGGAGATGGGGAAGTTGACGGTACTTGTCCTACTCGATTTTAGTAACGCTTTTAATACCGTTGACTTCGACGTTTTGCTTGGCGTGCTTAGCTCTCTTAACGTATCAGCATCGGCTATTGACTGGTTTCGTAGTTACCTATTGGTCGCCGGCAGCGTATTCACTTTGACGATCGTTATTCTTCTTGGTGTTGTACTGCTGCTGGTGTGCCACAGGGTGGTGTTCTATCCCCTTTACTCTTCGCCCTATTTATCAACTCTATCTCTAAAGAACTCTCTTCTTCCTTCCACCTCTATGCCGATGATCTGCAGATCTACACACAAGCTTCACTTCAAGAATTACCAGATGCTGTTGCTCTAGTTAACCGCGACATGGCTCGAATTAGCGATTGGAGCATGAAATATGGCCTGCGCATTAACCCATCCAAAACACAGGTGACGGTTGTCGGCAGTTCAAGGGCTGTCTCCAGAATTGACTGGTCTACTCTTCCCCAAGTATCTCTGCTTAACACTAAAATTCCTTTTTCCTACGAAGTCAAGAACTTGGGGATTTACATTGACAGTACTCTCTCCTGGTCTAAACAGATGCAGGAGGTCAGTCGCAGAATGTTTGCCGCGGCGGGCTCCTTGAGGCGTCTTCGAAATTTCTTGCCCACTACTACTAAAATTGCATTAGCACAATCCCTACTTCTACCAATCCTCGACTATGCTGATGCCAGCTATCTTGATCTCACCCAAGAACAATTAGACAAGCTTGAGCGCCTTCAAAACCTTTCTATCAGGTTTATATTTGGATTGCGCAAATATGACCATGTCTCCGAGTTCCGCAACAAGCTCAAATGGCTGCCTATTCGCCTTCGCCGGAATACTCACATCCTTTCACTTCTATACAATATACTCTTTAATCCCACTACCCCTTTTTATCTAAAAGAGCGTTTACGTACCTTGGCAAACACATACGAAGTTTTTGAGATCATCGGAGAGCCTGAAATTAAACATCTGTTTGCATTCCACTACCTTTTTCGACAAGTCCTATACAGTACAAGCTGCACGGTTGTGGAATGCTCTACCGATTACAGTGAGGCGAGCTCAAACTATATCACTATTTAAAAAACTAGTTAAGGAATTTTATCTAACTCTATAGTTGTCTGTCTTTTACTTAACATGGTAACACACGTACACATACATGCATAAACGCACACACGCACACTTACACACCATTATGTTAAATTATGTATTTTTTTTTTTTTTTTTTTTTTTTTTAAGCTTTAATGTACACAGAATCAAGTAATGGTACATAAGGCGGACATTAATGCCATATGGCATTCTCTCCCAGTCAACCTTAGGGTTAAATTGAAAAACGGCGAAAAAATAGGCATGTGTAATTATAAGAAACAAATAACATAAATAGACTTTAATAAATATAGATAGGCACAAAAAATATTTAAAATGTACACTACAATATAAATACAACATAAATATATAGGTATATATATATGCATGCTCATATATATATATATACTAAATAAATAAATTCTATAATAATACATATATAATAATAATAGACCTAGACTCAGCGTTGTAGTGACTTTAAAAAGAAATCGTGAACATCGCGTTTGAAAGTGATCTTATTTGGAGCCTTTTTTATGTTAAGCGGTAGTGCGTTCCATAACTTAATTACACTAACTGTGAAAGAGTTAGAAATGAAGGATGTTCGGTGGGACGGAATCTCAAGAAGCAGATTTTCAGCAGAACGGAGATTACGGCTGTGAGAACTGCCCAGAACCTGGAAGCAAGACTTTAGGTATTCAGGAGCACAAGGATCATTCAGAATAGTGAAAAGCATGCAGAGAGATCTAAGAGATCTTCTCTCACGGATAGGAAGCCATTTCAGCTGATCGCGAAAAGAAGAAATGTGGTCGTATTTACGAAGACCGAAGATAAAACGGATACAGTTATTGAGCATTCGATCCAATTTGTTCAGAAGGTCTTGGGATAGGTCAGAGTAACAAACATCAGCATAATCGATAACAGGAAGCACAAGGGACCGGACCAGTAACTGTTTTGTATTTGGGGGCAGAAAGTTTTTAAATCTATAGAGGGATCGCAGCGTAGCAGTAACTCTCTTACCAACCTGCGCAACCTGATGGTTCCAGCTGAGGCTACCATCCAGGTATAGGCCCAAATTCTTTACGTAAGGAGACAACGGTATGACAACTTTATTGTATATTATTGGTTCGAGGTGATTCATATTCAAACGGTTTAAATAAGAGGAACTACCCAACACAATGGCCTGACACTTATCAGCATTAACGGTGACCCCATACTTCTTAGACCACTCTTCTATATTGAGCAAGTTGGCATTAAGATGCTGAATACAGATCCGCAAGTCGGCAGCACAAGCCTGAGCATACAGTTGCAAGTCATCGGCATACAGATGATAAGAGCACGTGAGACGACTAGTGATAGAATTTATGAATAAAGAAAACAACAGAGGAGATAGTATACCGCCTTGCGGTACACCAGCCGTCAGCCCGCACCAGTCAGAGTGTTCCTGACCAATGCGAACCGCCTGCTGGCGACCACGAAGATAAGCCGAAAACCACTCCCGAGACGACAACGAGAATCCAGACTGAGTTAATATAGCTAGGAGGACATCGTGGTCGACCGTATTGAAAGCGTTGGAGAAGTCAATTAAAACCAACACAGTTAACCTCGAGTCCCCCATACCATACCTCGCATCCTCAGTGACTTTCAGCAAGGCGGTAGAAGTGCTATGGCCGGGCCGAAAACCAGATTGGAAAGAAGACAGTAGTTTGTGTTTTGAGATGTAGGAAGAGATTTGCTTATGAACAACTGCTTCGAGGATCTTTGATTGGTAAGGGAGAATCGAAATGGGTCTGAAATCTTTGACTAGGTAGGGGTTAGGGATTTTAGGAAGTGGAATAATATCTGCTTTTTGCCAGATTGAGGGGAATACACCGTAAAATAATGAAAAGTTAATTATGTGAGTGAAAATAGGGAGGAAGTGGTCGGTAATTAAGGAAATCATAGTACGGCCCACCCCGTCACAGCCACCGCCCTGGACTTGACCGATGCAAAAACTCGTCGAATCTCGAGTTCAGTCACAGGACTAAATGAGAAAGTATCAGGAGTGACATAGG